TCTGTGTTCGATCCAACGGTACAATCATCCACCTTGTAAAGTGGTGAGTTCCCCATCATTTGAGGAATTGAAACCAAGGCTAGATAGCAACAAATCGGGACTATTCTATAACCTTCTCCTTTACTGGCTGCAGATCTGAGTTGATTGGGAAGAAGAAATGAGCATAATGTTCAAATACAAGTGGAGTGTTCGGCTGCTGTCAGTGCTTTCTTACCTTTGATGTAGACTCTAGGCAGGATATTTTGGAAGGGTGCAGCGTGTAGCAAATCACAGACTTCTTCCTGAGACTAGAGAGACAGAGTGGGGAAAAAGGGAAAAAATTTATTTTAAACCAAGAGGAATTTTCACTCTTAGAAACTTGAGCAGTAGAGTCAGCCAGACCTGGGTTCAAAACCTGGCTCCTCTACTTATTAGCTGTGACTTGGACAAGTTACCTGACCTCTCTAATTCTGTATTTTTTTTTTTACAAAATAAGGATAAAAACAGTATCTATTTTATAGTTGTTATAAGAATTAACTGAGACAATGCATACATAGCATGGTCCTAGGTACATAATGAAAGCGCAGTATGTTTTTATTATAATCTTTTAAGAAATTTGTTGAAGAATTAGAATGAAAGAGGGATCGAACAGAGATGATGGGCTTTAGACTGTGTGGCTGGTTACACGACCTGTAGGCCCAAAGCAGGGCTTGAGCCAATCCTCCATCCAGTGCATTAATCCAGGATGATTGTGTGTGGAGACCTGTGACTGGTTTTCTCCACATCGGATGCCAACTAGCAAGAGAAGGAGGGATTGGAACCCAGGCCCTGACATTTTTTTTTTTTCTTTTTTGGAGAGGTTTTTACTATAGGGCGCGTGCGCTTGCCAGACAGACAGAGACAGAGAGAAAGAAAGCGAAAAATCACCCCCCCCAGGGGGTATGGCCACACCACAATCCCTTCTCCTTCGTACTCCTCTCAGGATCTTGGGCACGCATGCACACGCGCCTGGCGTGAGTTTAAGCCACCGGGTCCAGGACTCGAACTATGGTCGACTACATGGGAGTCCAGTGACATAGCCATTACGCTAACTGCTGGTCCCTACATTTTGATGGTGACTTGTTATGCATAAAAGTAAGCTTAAGAGCAATATACACAACAATGGTTGTGGAGAAGAGTTTAG